GCTATTTTCTGAATTAAATCTTTTCCCACAAGATACCAAGTGCCTGGGCAGTTTCTGAGTGCTGTTTTGGAAGTGTTTTTCCAAAGAGTAACTTCAAACACAAAAAATGATTTTATGTAGGACCACACTGTTTTTGGTGTAGAAAAGGAAATCTCCTTAAAGGGAGACTGGTACTGGAGTCTAGTTTAGCCTTTCCAGGATTTTCATCTTAGAACCAAAGCAAAGACTTTGGGGGTGAATGTTCAACATGTGAAATTCTCTGGTGTGAGTATCATACATATCATTCCCATTTTTATCTTACCTTTTTTCCCTTCTAGAATTTTTTTATTCATCTGCTCTTTGTCTTGGCCCTTCTCCTGCCATTTTGCCAATATCCATATTTCATTTTTCATCATGGTTCTCTGAGATACTGAGATTCCTGCAAGGTGGGAACCCTGGTGACAGAGCAGCTATTTCCTCTCTTATTTTTCATGTCTCAGGTCACCTAACATGCCCAAAGTCAGAAGCAGTGAATAGTCCAGTGAATTCCTTTTTATATCTGATATGAGGTTTGAAAGGATAGTAGTGTTTTCTTGAACAATCCATACATGATGCAGGTTTTTATGTGTATTCCCTGTTACACCTGTAATTATTTATAGCTGTTGTGTATTAAGTTGATTGGCTTATTTTTAAATCCTGTTTCCTGTAAGGAAGAGTTAAAGCATAAATGAAGATCCCATACCTCTGTTCCTCATAATTATGAGATCTGCTGGCAAAAATACCCCATTTGAAAGATATATGTGTGGTAATGTTGCACTACTTTTAAAAGCCAAATAGTTCTGGAAATAGTGTATACCTCAGAAAATTTTGCCTTGAATGTAGTTTGTGGTAGGAGAAGCACAAAATCATGGCAGTAACTCCTGAAGGGGAAAGAATCACCTCAAGTGCTGACATACCTTAATGGTTACTTATATGATTACTATTTTTTAAAGAAATGGCAATTAAAACTGCTGAATAACTTATGCAATTGGCTAGACAGAGGTTTCTTTAAATGCATGGAATATTCATACTGAAAATTTCTTCTCTTTGATTGCATTTTATAAATCATAATTGTCATGTCACATATGACAAAACAAGATATCGCTTTATTTTCTCTACGTAAATTTGAGGTCAGTACTTTTATTAGTTAAGGTGCCATTGAATATCACAGCTTCACCTAGCACCAGTTTTTGACTGTGGTGGCATTTACAGCATCTCAATGAGTATCTGGGCTACACTGTTTTAACTACAGCATTACATAGATAGGGAGGGCTAATGAATTTCAGACATTGACTTCCTATATGTAATGGTTTGTTTCACTTTGTTTTTTATTTTGATAAGTGTAGTTAAATTAGATATTCAACAAAATCATCCAGTTTTGAGGCTGCATTGGAAAAAGACAGATAGTTTCCATAACTTTCTGGATTGTCATCTTCATTGAGGTGCACTAGGGTTGTTCTGTGTGTAAAAGAAGGGTTAGTAAAAGAGTAGTGCCTACTCTGAAGAGCCTGTGACTTACGCAGATAGAACAAATGGAGTGGGGTAAAAAGAAAGGTCCGGTCTTAGAGGTGGCAGAATGTACTTAGAGGGAAGGTCTCACTATCCCAGAAGATCACCCAGGAGCATCTAAAAGATTCTGAAAATGAACCGGTGTTCTTACAGACAAATACTGTGCTTTAACTGGAAAATGGTCCTTAACTCTCATATGCAAAAAGAAATCTGGAAATGAGAAGATATGTTAGGCTTCTCCTGACTACCAGCAAGGAGCTGCCGGGTGGTAGACACTGGTTTACAAGTCTAACCCCTTTTGATGCTAAGTATTTGTACATTTCCTTTGAGAAGTTGAAATTGATAAGCATCAGTTGTGCTCTAGAAAGGAAAATTATATTTAAAAGGCTGAATTAGAATTTAAAAAATTGAAATCCATAATGTTCCTGAAGGTGGTGTGGTCAAGCTGGTGAAATCTATGATCATTTTTATGCAGAGGAAGATTTCCAAAATAAGTTATGTTTCAGTTTTACTTAGCACATTGTTGCTTTTTTGCATGATAAGCCACTACAGAATAAGTTGTACCCTTAGCTGGAGCATAGGAGCAGCCAGTCAGCCCTCCTGCTGACCAGAGGCAAAATCTGCTCTACTGTGGTAGCTTAACCTTGCTGATGGAGGGAAGGCAGAAACCACCAGTGAGTTTGTGTCCTTGAGTTGGTTACAGCCAGTGCTCAGTGCTGACCTGTTAGACCTGGTCCTTTCACAGAACAGAGTTTCAGCATGAAGTTGGCCTGTCAATGGACTTGGCCTATCAATGGCAGAATGTAAAACAAATGCTTAAATAGTTTCTCTTCAGTGTTTTAGACAGTTTGGAAATGTGTACCCTGCAACAGCGGTGTAAGCTTAGCTTTGCTGGCTTCAACAGTGCGCTCTGCTCAGCAGCCATTTGGAGAGAAATTCTTTGTTTCTGCCAAGGAAATATTGATGTTGGTGAGAGAGAAGTGATGAATTAAACCCCTTTTCAGCTCTGGCAGGAGGTGTGCTGCAGTTGCAGAGCAGGCAGATGGGCAGGGTTAGCAGCCTCTACTTTGGCATTTCCCTGCTGCGCTCAGGGTTTTCCACAGGTGACAGTGGTGTCCAGCCTGTGCATCCAGCAAGGTGTTTGACTTGTGCGTGGGGAGCTGGTTGGTGCTCATCTTGGTTTTAGTCATTTGCAAGTTGGAAGCTGGCTATTATAAGATAATGGTGAGGATTTTTATCCTATTCCAGATTCAGTCAAGTGGGTTGAAGGCTAAAGTGCCTCCCTTCAACATATAATTCCAAACTATTACTTCTTCGAATCAAGACAATAGTAACACATGCCTACATGGCCTACATTAGACCTAGAGATGTAGATTTTCCAGTGGAAAAAGAAAATAGAAGCAGCGTTCCTGGCATTAGTATCTATAGTATGTTTATAGCTATTCAAAATATTTTAATCTGCTACAGGTGCCTTGTTAACCTGAAAGGAAGACAAGTATCACTTTGGGACTTCTTGTCCATATCTCCTGCCCCTAGAAAAACCCTATTTCTAGATCATAGTGTTTCAAATGCTGAGAAATACTGATTACTGATTACTAATTTATTTGCATCCATGTTGATTAAGCAACATGGAACTGCTGCTATATTAATAGTAATTTCAATTTACATTACTTTAAAACGTCTTTTGTGGTAGCAAGCATTGCAAGAACATGGAAATGACAGTGGGAAATATGTGGATGCATGTCTGTGCATATGAGTTGTTTTAGAGAAAAGAAACCAATTAGTTTTACAAGAAGAGTAATTAAAAACTCTTTATGCTGCAGCTCTTTATCTTTTCTCTCTGAAGTAACAGACCAAAATTACATAATTTTCTTAATTTAAGCCGAAAAAAGAATTATCATTTGGAATGAAGGGGGACTTTTCCTTTTCTCAAGGGAGATATAACTTGGTGAAGTTCTAGTCTTGGAGATATCGCTGTAGTGAGTAGAAATGGGAACCTTTGTAATGCCTGGTTTGTGACAGTAGTGATGCCCTTCATTAGAGTTGACCTGGTATATGATCATTTGGCCAGATGGCACAGTGCAGGGAACATACTTCAAATTTTTAATGTAGAAAAGAAAGCTTTCATCTACTGTTACAGTGGATCATTAAAAAAACGTCTAACTCCACAAGGTATAGTCCCCCCAGTATTTCTATAAACAATTGAAGTAAGTTGGATCTCAAGGCGCAAAATGCCTCTAGGAAAACGGCAAAGAAAAATTTATTTAGAAATTTTTGGAGATACTTTGGGTTAGGAAGAAAGACTCCTGATTTAATGGTAATTTATTTTTTCTTTTTTTTTGTATTAACTGTTTTAAGATGACAAGTTTTCAAAAAATATAATGGATTATAGGTGCTTGAATGGACTATAAAATTAGTTTTATATGAACAGTTCAGTTGATAGCAAATTAACACTGTCTATCCTTAAACACATGCAAATGTAATGGAAAAATATATTGTAGATTATTTGATGTACTTTGATTATTTGAGACACTTTGATGTGCCTTACAATTTAGGGAGGCACTTGGGTCTGCTTGCTTCACACTTCAGAACTTTTCCCTGTAGTCAGAAAGCTGAAACTATTTTCTTTCCAAGTAAAAGTCAGGTCTCTTATGGGTAAAAACAGAAGCCTCAAACACAACCCCTCACCAACAGTGTAATTTAAAAAAAAATCATATGTATTGAAATTAAAACCAGAAACGTACATGGCTGGAGTATCTAAAGGTGCTGTTCTGCTCATTTGGTTCTTTTGCACTATCCATAGCACATTTGGATAGCTCAAGCAGCAAGTGGCAGTCTTTAGAGCTTGGCAGAGTTGTACTTCACAGTAACAAAGAATTGGACTTCTGTGCTTTAGTGTGCCATTAAGCTACAGTCTCACGTTTCAGTGCCTGGGAATTGATTTACTGATTTGATTTTCTGAGACATATGGTGATAATAATAATAACAACACTATATAAGCATTATTTAAAAATACAATAATATACCAGTATTGAATCTTTGGAAAGCCAGCACCAGCCAGTGCACACACAAACTGCCATCATTTATTTTAGTTTAGTCTCATCCAGTTTTGAACAAATGGAAATCAATACTGCTTGTGGATATCTGTGGCTAGATTGGAGAGAGAAGTGAAGTGGCATTGTTGCCAAGAACACTTTGTACAAGAAAACACAAATGTATGAATTTATGTATGTTCCTCTTTTGCCTTCCTTTTCCAGGATCTTCTAGTACATTGTACAAAGATAGGCTTTTTATAGTTATTATTGTGATGTGGGTGTCCCCTATGTAAAATGCATGTGTTTTATTCAATTTTAACATAGAAATAGAAAGTGAATGCTTATGAAGTTCAGTGCCTTTTTTGATGCTGCCTGGTGCATGGAATGATATCGACTTTAAGCCTGTTAGAGTCAATAAATGATGTTTTTTCTTTTCAGATATGTGTCACAAAGATGTCTACACGGAACTGCCAGGGAATGGATTCAGTGATCAAACCTCTGGATACAATTCCTGAGGATAAAAAAGTTCGGGTTCAGAGGACACAGAGTAGTTTCGATCCGTTTGAGAAGCCAGCTAATCAAGTGAAGAGGGTTCATTCAGAGAACAACGCTTGCATTAACTTCAAAACTTCATCTGCAGGGAAGGAATCACCCAAAGTCAGGCGGCACTCCAGCCCCAGCTCTGTAAGTGCACAGTCCTGACACCTCTGCATGTCCAAATGGTGGAATTACAGGCACCAGATAAATGTTTTCTTGCTTAAGAAGGGATTGTTTGCTTGGAAACAACAAAGAAAAAGATCATAGCTGCTCTTAAATGTGTTTTCCGTATATATTTGTAGCGTTATTAAGGAAATAAGATCAGAAAATAGAAGTTGAAAAATAATATGATTTGTGAAATTCCTTTCAGATGTTAGTTAGGGTGTCTTACAGGATTTCTAAGCATTTTCCTCTCCTTATCCTGGTATGTCATTACAGCTGCTATAATGTTTATGCAGCAAATTTGGCAGTGGGTTGCTTATTTGTGAAGAGAAATTCTTTCCCATAAAGTTTAAGAAGCCACATTAATTGCCTCTTTGATTTTTAGATTTTGGTTTTAGAGAAACAGATCAGATTTTGCAGATTTTGTTTACATTTGATAATTCTCTTTTTAAAATCAAGTAGTAAAAATAACATTTATTTCCCTGTTAGAAACTCCGTGAGAGAGAGGAAAGAGAGATAAATAACAGAAGGGTTTGGCAACACATCATAATAGTTTTATTCTCAAGTATTTTGAAAGAAACTAGATGAATAAAATGTCATGTCTTTAATGAATAATGCCCAGAATAGATTTCCCCCAAAAGACCTTCAAAATTATTGAAAAACTATTTCTGTTATGCTTTGGCAAGAAAAATCCATAATAATGTGACCTTTGAGTTGAAAACTACAGATCTAAGTAGAATGGATGTAACACTTCAAAATCTTACTTGATGCAAAAAAATTTAAAAGGTTGATTGCTTCTTCTTTTTTGTTTTCTTTCTTTTCTTTGTTTTGATTT